AAAGCCAACCAAAAAAGTGGGGGGGGGGGCGGCCAAAACAGACTGTTTTCTCATTTCTGTGCCCTTAGAATAAGATTTAAGCTCGCATAGCTTTTATGGGTTTTTTTTTTTTTACCTTTGAGGGCATAAGTGGGATGGTAGTCTGGCCTCATGGTCTTACTGGGTGCTGTGCATGCCATACTATGTTTACTGTAATTAAATATTACCCACTGATTATTCTAGACAATATCTTTTGGAGTATATTTGGTGAAGCACATTGTTTGCTATGCCTTTGTGTGTCTCCATCTCTTCACATAATACCCATCTCTTAACGTTTGTTTAAGGATATGCCTACACTTTCACCCTATTTCGAAATAGGGATGCAAATGAAGACATTCAAAATTGCAAATGAAGCCAGGATTTAAATATCCCGTGCTTCCTTTGCATAATTGTGTTATGATGCAATTTCAAATGTCTTCATTTGCTTCCCTATTTCGAAATAGGGTGTAAGTGAAGACATACCCTAAGAAAATTGCTTAAATTCTGAGGCCACCTTCTGGAACACAGTGATAAGCTTTTGTAGTGCTTGTTCCTTGGGACCTGCTCTGGAATTCTGTCATCCATGCCAGGACTCATTTTTTTGGTGCACTGGTGCCAGACATGATATTCTTGATCCTTTTGAGTGCATTCCCATTACTCTTTGGTGCTTCAGCGTCTAAGTTGACTCCCATTTTCACAGAACTGTGAATAATTGACTTTTTGATTCAGCAGCCAAACTGAAAAATTAATAAACAAAATGACTTCTGGGTTGCCCTGAGTCAGCAGAGACCACTGTGCAGTGGTACTCAGGACTAATGTAGTCTGCTCTAGGGCTGATCCAGCCTATCCACTTCTAAATTCACCATGCAGTTACCTTTGAAGCCAAAGTACCAGATGTTGACTGTTTGTATTCTTGACACCTTTAGTCAGTGGCAGAGGATAAAGAGCACAACCCCTCGTGAATTTGTAGATCACTTATTTAAACAAGTGCATTTTGATATTTGGGTTCCTATGGAATTGCAGGGAGGATGTTTCATTTTTACAAAATGTGGCCCTAAAGTTGACAGCTTATTTTTCAGTATCTCTTCCCCTTGTAACCTTTTTGAAGCTATTTACTTGTTTCCTTTGTTTTTTGGGGTACAGGTATGAGGGAAGGGTTGGGGAAGGCTTATTGAATATGTATTTAGGCCTAGTCCTTTATAATGTAATGTTTTATGTACTTCAGTTCTTACAATAGACACCCAGATAGCAGAAAGGGCACCGACACATACTTTTATACATTTCAAGAAATAAAATAATTTACAGCTTGGAATTAAGCTGGGGCTTCTGAGATGGGAAAATGTCTATTGCCTATTTGTATGAAGAAACCAAAGCTCTAGTATGGTGATGAAAGTAAAATACCTAGCTGAATCCATCTCTGTTTCTTTCAGCATAAATATTTAGTGCCAAAGAGACAATGCAGCTAGCTAAAGGGTGGGGCATTTTAAAAATGACACTGAGCTAGTAAAATGATTAATGCAACACTGTTCTTCAAAAAGATCTTTAATATCAACAAAATATATGAGGCTTCAGCTAAAGCTCTTATCTGAAGGATGGCATCGAGGGCACTACTTCATCATCTTTTTAGTGAAAGACAACTTTAAAGGTGGGGGTACAAGGTGGGGAAATCACTTCCCAGATTTCTTTGTGTTCTCTGAAGTTTATATTCATCAGCAAACTTTTCCTCCTCTGCAGTCTTCTCTCTTGTGGTGGTGGTGGTGGCTCACCTTTTGAAGGATGCTATTTCTATAAATCCCTGTCTTTTATGGGTATTAATTTACCACAACTTCATTGTGCACTAACCAAATCCCAGGAGTGGGACAATAGGCATGTACTGCTATTAATTAGCATTTGTACAATGCTGCATTCTTTGAGTGCATTTCCCTATTTCTTCTCAGCAGAACTTTGTGAAGTAAACATGTACTTAGAATTAATAATAATATTTTACAGAGGGGAAATGCAGTCTCCTCCAGACTTCACTTCATTCCTCCAGACTTCACAGCTCTTACACTGTGTTTCTTTCCTTCCTTCCCCCATCTAGCAGATGACCAAAAGGGTTCTTGAAGCAAACAGGTTATCTTTTCTTGTTTTCCCTTATGGTGCATCTACACAGCAGGGCTTACCTCAAAATAAGCCATGCAAATTGAGTTACATCAATTGTGTAGCTTATTTTGAAATTGGGAACATCTAGATAGCACTTACTTCGAAATAGAGCACTCTTCCCTTACTCGTATAATGAGGGTTACAGGAGTTGAAGTAAGAAGTTCTCCAGCTTGACAGTATTTCTACATTTCAAAATCACTTCCTGGTGTATAGACGCGGACTAAGTTATTTGAAAATAACACTATTTATTTCAAAGTAATGTTGCTGTGTAGATGTACGATTAGGGACGAGGGAAGTATGCGGAAAAACAAAGAAAAGTAAGGGCAACTTGCATTCGGGCAGTCTTTCTGGGGCAGCACTTTGGGCTGAGCCTAAAGGGGGGGTCTGTTTTCAGCCTCTCCTTGTCAGGTATACTACTCTGTGGCTGGGTCATGTAGCTTCGGGAGTAAGGCTTGTCTTGACTGTCTGAGGAGGGGCAATCCTCTCCCTGATCACTACCTTTTCCTGTGGCCGGCTTTTCCTTTTGAACTCCTTCTAGTCCAGGCAGAGAGAGCTTTGCAAAGTGCCTCATTGGTGTTGAACAGATCCAGGGAGCTTGTTAATCTCATGGGTTAGTTTTCACATACTCCACTCTGTAGCTGAAAAGGATATCCTGGGGCAGTTTGTCATCATGGCCCAATCCTCCGTGAAAATAAACTGGACTGAGCATGAACCTTTCCCAGGTGGTGCTGCATCTGAAAGTGCTGAGTTGTAACACAAGAGGCCATCTCAGTGTGCTGAGATTTTTCTTTCATGTTGGGGAAAGTTTAGGGGAGTGGAGTCTGTGACCAGGGACTAACCAGCAGATAATATCTCAAAGAATCCGCCACCTATTTAATTGCTTATGCCTCCTTTTCAATAATCAACTAAACTTTTGAAAATTCACAAATGTTTTAACACACTTTTTTCACTGTCCAATGTAGCAGTTGAATATCTTTCTAGATCATCAGCGACATGATTGAAATACACAACCAATGTTCTCTCTAATCTTTACATCCATGTGTGGATTTTTTCCATCCATGTGCAAAATAATTTTTTATGTGCACAAGGCATGTGCGAATGTGCACCACCAGTAGAAACAAAAATTCCTATCTGTGGGAGCACCTATCAGCTGGGCAGCATTTTAATCTCTCTTGATCGCACAAGTGTATAGCTTACACAACACTGCTCACAACAATGAAAACTCCTTATGCTCTTAAACCCCTACTGAAAAAGGAGGAAATCAATAAAATCTAAAACACAAAAATTCAAACACCTAAAACCCTACTTCAGGAAGAGTTTTCTCTCTAAAAAGGGAGAAATACCAGAGACTCCATGACAATCCAATGAGGATTATGCTATTAGTATTGATATTTTATGGAAGGTGCTCAGATACAAAAGTCAAGTCTACAATATCGTTTAGGTTGTTATAATTTACTTTGATCAGGAGTTTGAACCCCCCCCCCCCCAGGCAACACATGATTTGCATGGTTCACCACGCCCTCTTTCCGCTTCTTGTGTATGTGGAGTAATTATGCTAATGGAAAGCGCTCTCCTATTGGCATAGAGTATCTTCACCACATGTGCTACAAAGGCACAGCTGCATCAATCTGTCATGAGATAGATCGATCAATACAGAACCTTACTTTTTCTGTAAAGACAGTGTGTCTATCTAATGCACTATAAACAGTGGAATGTTCTTTTCATGAAACATGGTTTATGAAGTAGAATGAGACTAAATTATTTCTATGTATGAAGTGTGTGTTCATATGGTGTCACCTGACATCTACCACGGGGTCATAAATGTCAGAGACATATAGATGCATGTTCCTACTCTACTGAACCCTGCTATAAGAACAAGATTGCAGAAACCTGCTGCCTTTGAACACTCATACCAGTAAATTCTGTCAGTTAGAATGGGTATATGAGATGGACTTTAATGCCATTTGTTCCAGTGCCTTTAGAGCTTTGGACTTACAAACTCTCAGATGGAGTGCAACACAGAGCTCTTGTCTAAGTGTAACCCCCCTTTTTCCTCCCGGGGTTACTGGGGAGCAGGTCACACTCACAGGTGTGCCTGGGCGCCTGGTGTTTTAACCCAAAAGAGATCCTGAGTACCTCAGTGGTGATGGAGTTTAGCTGGGAAAAGCCCTATCCACCCCCTTGCTGCAGTCCCTTGCTGGCAATGAATGTAAAGTGCGGTGCCTCCACCTGGCTGGCCTTGTACACACACTGGTGCCTTGAGAGCCTCCAGGAATATACTCATTCCAACATAAAGCTGGATCTAATTCCAGGACAACTACAAATCATATACAGCTAATAGAATACTTTAAAATAAACCATCTTTACTTAACTACACAGGGATTAACAGATTAGCAAGGAATAGCATTAACAAAACACATAACAATAACTGAAGTTTACATAGCTAGACAACAGTTACTCCACCCCAGAGTGTGCACACCCTTAGACTCAGTCCCAGACACTTGCTTGCGTTGGCGCGCTGATGTTGCAGCTGTAGTGAGGATTTGGTCCAGGCTAAACAGCAGCTCTGTCCCAGGCAGCACTCTTCCAGCAAGGCACAAACTTACTGCCTCATGCTGTGCCTCTAGGAAGCAGCCTGCTAACTCCCAGTTCCAATAGGCATGTAGTAGCTGCATCCAACAGCCCCTGCACTGGGTCAATGTCCTTGGCAGCAGCCTGGCTCCCCCTTTGGTTCCAAACTGCAAGGCAGAATCCCAGACTGCTAGGCCTCTTCTTCAAGCACATGGAGAGACCTCCTCTCTCTCACAAGAGTCCCTCCTCCCTCTTTTGTTCCAAGGGCTCATGGGAATTGTAGTCTGGATTGTAGCACACAGGGTCTTTTTAGAATAAAACAGAGGTCCCTTTAGTAAGGGGACTACATAAGCTAGATTTTTTTTTCCTTCTAAATTGCTGCTCATGTGGTTAGCTCCACTAGGAGTAAAACTGGTGAGACAACAAGCAAAGCCATGGCGCCAGCAGTTGCTGATGTTTTAACCACTGTGTCATCTTGACCTGCTTTCCCTGAGGGCAAATGATGATATGTTTAAAATGACAGCAACTGTGCTGCTCTGCACTAGTGCTATTGTTTCTTTTATCAGTTGCCACAATGGGAAGTTTTAGCCTAATATGGCTGTAGTCCTCCCCAGAATGTGTGAGATTGTTGCACCCAGCACGTGGGTGTCCCAGCTGTGGGTGGGCCTGAGAGAAGTTAAATACTAAAGATGTTCTCTCTACTAAGTCTCTGAGTTCTTGTAAGAGCAAGAGAGCACAGGATGAAAAGGAGGCCGGACATGAATGAGAAGCGGATATGACTGAGAAAAGACAAGAGTTTGTGTGCTCCTCATAACCCTCATGAGGCGCTGAGCCACTCTGGCATTTCTTAGGCCTTACTTCTGCCAGGAGTAAGTGGGCAGCTCTGCTCAGTAACACAGGGGCTACGTCTAGACTGCATCCTTCTGTCAGCAGAGGGATGCAAATCAAGCACATTGAAATTGCTAACGAAGCAGGGTTTTAAATATCCCATGCCTCATTAGCATAAACATGGCCACCGCTTTTTTCAAAACAGCATTTAAAAAAAAGGCAGTCTAGATGTGGATCTGTCAAAAATAAAGCCTTTTTTGACAGATCCTGTATTTCTCAAAAAATGAGGTTTACAGGAACTGTCGAAAAAGGCGTTATTTTCGACAGATCTGTGTCTAGACTAACATTTTTTTCAAAAAAACTCCGTTTTGAAAAAAAGCAGTGGCCATGTTTATGCTAATGAGGTGCGGGATATTTAAATCCCTGTTTCATTAGCAATTTCGATGTGTCTAATCTACATCTCTCTGTTGACAGAGAGGTGTGGTCTAAACACACCCTGGGTTTGTTTGCCTTGAGCTACCTGTTCTGCTTACCACTTTCTCACTTATGTGTGTGCATACAGTACTGTGCACATGTGTTGTGCAGGATCAAGCCCAACAGATGAAGTAGCCTTACTATTGATTTGTGCCCTGTGGCAGATGCAAACTTTTGCCATTGAATTGCAGTGACATAGAACCCTTCCTTTGGCTTTAAAGGTATTGTAATGCAGCTGCTTTTTAGATTGCTTTCAAAAATAGGGATCCTTTGATTTTTACTTAAGTATTGTGCACAGTACCTGTATTTAATTGCTTTACAATCTTTGAAAATAATTCAATCATAAGGACAGCTTATATTTACACTGTGTAAATACTTTTATCAGAGGATTCCAGAGTGCTATGTGAACTATGTTTACAGTCTATAATGCATGGTTGGGGTGAATGAGCTATATGCACGTTATAGCAAAATAGATTTTTCACTTTCCTGTGTAGGAGCTGGAAGAAGTCTAACAGCACCTACTCATTAGCAGTCCAGGGCCTACCAAAGCCTCATTCCAAACTGAGGCTTTGTAGGTGTGAGAAGTGCCAGTTGTAGTTCTCCTGTGAGAATGAGCAGGGGTCCAGTGGAAGTTCCAGAGCATCACACCTGTATCTGTGCATTTGGTAGTCCCGCTGAACCAGCTCCCCCAATATGACTCATTCAACCCTTTGTGCCTTTTTCAACAAACATGCAGGCCTACATTTTTAAAAGTGAATGTTCTTTTTGGATGCCTCAGTATTTGGGTTCTGATTTGATATCTTAAAGGAAGAGAATTTGAAAATCTGATCCTTTTAGGATGTCTGAAATAGGGATGTTAAATATTAGTTAATTGAATAGTTGATTAACCTCATGAATTTTTACCAATTACTTGACCATTCTATAGTGCCCAGCAGCCAATGCCCTCCAGCTCCACTCCCGTGGAGCGCCCTGCCACTCCACACTGCTGCCTCTGTATCAGAGGCAGCAAAATGGGGTGTCAAGTGGGAGTTTATCTGCAAGGGGAGCCAGTTTAAAAACTAGCTCCCCTCATGGATCAGCTGCCTGCCGCCTCCTCATGCTGCCATCAAATACAGAGGCAGCAGCACAGAGTGGCAGCAGCTTCTGTCCAGGGACAGTCTGAGCTCCTGGACCTGGTGTCTGAGCTGGGCTAACTGCCCTCCCAGTTCCTAATACACTTTAAATGCAGAGTTGCCGTAGGAATAGGTCCCAGACCCAGCGTGAGCCAGGCTGCTGGCTAACCTGATAAAAAATTTACTGGCAGGGAGCCAGGGGAGGGGGAATGCATAAGAACATAAGAACGGCTGTACTGGGTCAGACCAAAGATCCATCTAGCCCAGTATCCTGTCTGCCAACAGTGGCCAGCACCAGGTGCCCCAGAGAGGGTGGACCGAAGACAATGATCAAGTGATTTGTCTCCTGCCATCCCTCTCCAGCCTCTGACAAACAGAGGCCAGGGACACCAATTCTATCCCCTGGCTAATAGCCTTTTATGGACCTAACCTCCAGGAAATTATCTAGCTTCTCTTTAAACTCAGTTATAGTCCTAGCCTTCACAGCCTCCTCTGACAAGGAGTTCCACAGACAGACTGCACGCTGCATGTATTCTATAGCAAGGCTACTCAACTCTGGAAGCCCCAGGGGCCACAATGATAGCACATTCCGAGAGCCGTATTTAAGTGTGGTTGCATATATGCAAATATAAATGCAAATATTTATGCAGATGTATGCAAATATCTTATTTCACACTGATGGGCATAAATACAAAGATTAAGGCAAGACTACACAAGATGCAGACCCCATTTAATTCAGTTCTGCTGATATTAATAAAATGCAATATTTGCCCAGTTTCCACCCATATGACAGCACTTTTAATGAGCAATGACAGTCCAGGAATTTAACTACTAAAACATATATCAACAGAAGACCGTTATATTGACCATTTTTTTTGTTTTGGCTTCACAATTTTAACAAATCAAACAAAACCTGCCAATTTACTGAAATATAAGTACAATCAATGTGAAGTGAAAGGCTCCGAGGAGAGAAGTGGCATGGTTAGAAATGGAACCCAGAAATCCTGCCTTCCAGAATCCCTTCCTTTCCCCTGCCTACCCCACCAAGCACCAGCTCCCACAGTCCTCACAGAGCAGAGACTGGAACCCGCAAATCTAGCCAACAGACCCAGTGCCCACCTGCCAGAAAGCAAAGAAGCCAGAAGCTTTAATGCCCAGTTCCCTGCTCTAACCCAATGCACCCACCCCTCCCCCAGAGCCAGGCATCCTCCAGCCCTGCCACTCCAATCCAATGCCTCTCCCCTCCCCCAGAGCCAGGTACCCACCAGACTCCCCTGCTCTAACCCAATGCACCCACCCCTCCCCCAGAGCCAGGCACCCCAGCCCCCCATTCCAGCCCAATGACCTTTCCCTCCCGCAGAGCCAGGGACATAAAACTAGTGGGGAGGAGGGTAACGCCCTGGGTTTCATCAGAACAATGCGCTTTTCTCTCCAGGCACTGGGACCCATGTGCAGAGCAGCTGTGAATGGTCATTAAAGGCACCCTCCCCGGTTCCCTTTGCTGGGCAAAAAATCTGGGACGTTATTTGCCTTTTATAAAACCCGTCTGGATGGTGATTTAACATGTGAAAACAAGGACATGTCTGGGAATAACCGGACGTATGGTAACCCTACCCAAGCCCTAGCGCAGACTCCACCGCCTCTTCGCTCTCACTGCCCACATCTCTTACTGCCCTGCTCTGCCACTGCCTTGCCATGCCTTGCTGCCGACTCCCACGCTGCCTCTTGCTGCCCTGGAAGCTCCTGTGCACGCAATGCTGCGGCCTGCCTCTTGCTGCCGCTGGCCCCGCTGCCGTCTGGCAGCTCCTGCACACGCGGCCTGTCTTAATGTGGTGCCGTGCAGCTCAGCTCATGGGGAGGTGCTGCTGATGGAGCCCGCAGTGATGAAGCAGGCAGGTGGTCTGGGCAACTCAAAGTGCCGCGGGCCACATGTTGAGTAGCCCAGGTCTATAGCATTAACTGATAAACTTTTGCTTATCGGTTAATCAACTACACTATTACATCTCTAGCCTGAAGCACCCAGATTCACAACCTACTTTTGGCTATAGTGGTCTCTGTTAAAAACCCCATAGTTATGTTGTGATATCTGAGATAATACAGTTATTTCCCAGGCTTGAATTAGGAAATAGCAGCGATATCACAGATCCTACCAGCTACTTCCTTTTTCAATTGAGCTAACAGGTCAGTGGTAAATATTACACACTAATTTTTAGCTCCGTAATGCTGAATATTCATTAGTTTTTCTTTCTTTCTTGTTGGCCAGCTTCACAAAGGAGACTGAGTTAATGAGAAGTGTGCTTTTAGTGTTCTGGACCCCAATGGTGTATAGAGAAGATATTTACCAAACTTTTAGTTCTGAACATTCCTGAATTTTCCAGATTTCCCATATTCAGCAGGGGAATTGGAATTTGGTCAGAGCACTGATGAACACCCTTTTTGTACTACGAAAAATTTAATACTCTAGAGGTCCGAAGCTTGGTCTTATGTCATATGATGTCACTGCTAGCAGTATTAGTACTTACCGTAACAGTGTATTGGTTCAGCTTGTAAGCAGAAGGATCAGTGTCAGCTCTTCCTGCAACATCAGGGTTTCCCTTGGAGATCCTCTGTCCAAGTAACTCCTGACAAGATCCAACCATGCAAAGAGAAGATCTGAAGGAGACCAAGCTGGAGGTGGTATGGCTTCAGGCTGTAGGAGTAGAGTGCTTAAGATTACTTTTGTACTAATGTGGTTGTTTTTGATGTACATTTTTGACCTAATTTTCTACATGGAAGAGCATTTAAAAAAACGATTGCTTGACAAAATAACCGCAGGCTTTTCCTGCATATGCCAAATAAAACCTGTATTAGATCATTTTCAAATCTCTTCTATATAATTAAATTTTTGGACAGTACTTCTAGAGGGTAATGTGATTAATATAAGTTTGGTATTTATATGGGAGTTGATTAATTCCTTTGACTTCACTGGGATTGCAAGAGGTATAAGCCAACACAGAATTTCTCCTACTGTAATGATAATAGTCTATTTTTCTAGTTAGGTTCTTATTCCTAAACCATTGCTGTGGTAACTGAGCACCTTACGTCCTAATGGAATTAATAATGCTCAATATTAAAATGTACATATTCTACTGATAAACATTTTATTTTGTACCATTTTTATATTGCTATAAATATTTTGTATCTCAGAAATAAAGTGTTTACTATGTTGAGATCATAATTTTTGTGAGCTAAATTTGCTTCGGATGATAGGCAAATTATAGGCTACAATATGTGATCAAACAGCAATATGGAAAGCTTAAATAGAATGCGCCCTAAGGACAAAGGCTGGTTAAAACTATGGGGGATAGAATAAATGGGAGTTTTAGTAAAGCTATCTCTGATTCCAACAGATAAATTATGCTCTGCCTTTTTTGTATCTCTTTGGGACTGTACTACATAAATTATGACCAAATATAATTTAGACTATCAGCCTATATTTCTGAACATCCATCTTGTACATTTTAAGTACAAAATTACCATTTTGCAGAAGTATAAAATTGAGACAAATTTTTTTCATCTGTGCATTTAACTTCTGCATACTTTATAGCGGCTAAAGGGTTAGAGAGGACCTCATTACTATCCAGAGGGTGATGTTAGCCAGATGACTGTATAACCGTATTAAGATCTACATAAACGTGAATAAAGTTCAAGGGACAGTGGGATAGAGAATTATATATTCTTTTATAATGGAGATATACTGTGACTTAAAATCATAAGTCTCATGCTTTTCTGAATAAAAATAACTGTTTGTAAATCCAAACTTCTTACTGATTAAAAATTAGTTTTAAAAATTAAATTTAAAATGCCCTTTAAAAATGGTTGCAGTCAAACTGTATACACTTCAAAATACATGAAGTCCCCCAGAGTACAGACCCTCAACACATTTTATGAAATTCCAAGTTGCACTTGACTTCGAATGTTAGTGCGTGTGTGTGTGTGTGTGTGTGTGTGTGTGTGTGAATGACACAATGATCATAAGTACTCTATTTACCATCACTCAAGTACCACACTCTGTGTCCCTGGTTTGTGTGTAATTTTAAATGAGAAAGCTGCGTGATTCATTTCTCGCTTTGTGTTGTGATATTAGTATGATACTCAGAAATTAGGATGCTCCTGGCTGTTTCCATTTGGTGAAGAGTAGGAGTATGTCTTCCAAAGGCAATGGTATGTGGAAAGAGGATGAAACATCCTCTTTGAGGAAAATATTTTCATAAATTATTTTTTGATAAAAGACAATAATTTGAGGTTGACCCAAGATAGCATTAAATAATGTGCCAACTACCTACACTGCATATTTCTAGGAGAGTTTCTTGATTTATACTAATGGGGAACAATCCCTCTTGGCTTTATGTAATCTTTCTCACACAATCACAAGAAGAAACATTTAACATTCCTGCACAAAATGTCACACAAAATGAGTACACCTGCAATCTGCATGTCCCAGTGGCTCTCTGCACAAGCATGAGTGAAGTTGATTAGCTTAGTTTTGAAGTCACTTGAACATCATTGCTTTGAGAGTTCAATTCAAACTTATATGTTGGGTGATCACATTGTCCCCTGAAAACGGAGAGAGAGGAAAAAAAAATCCAATGTAAAAAAGTGAAAAATGAAGCAGAGGAGAAGGAAATACACACAGACTGTAAAAAAGAAAAGTAAAAATTATAATAAAAATGCCCATATTTTTCTCTGCTGCGTATATCCAACCCTTTTCATGGGGGTTGTATCTCATGCCCAGTTAAAATTTGTACCTTATGCCGAGGTAATGTTCCATTTATTACAACTAGCAATCGTCTGTGTTCCTGGCTTTTCCAGAACTCTCCATGGTAAGTATATGGAATTCTGAAACAAAAGCAACAGTGCTAATTGATTATTGAGAATTTAATAGCAATCACTGTGACTGAAGGCAGTGATTAGTCTAGTATACAAGGCAGCAACAAATACTTGTCACCTTAGCTTTTCTAGGGAAATGGTGTTCCCATTTCCCCTCAGCTAGAAGTGTGTTTTCTTAACGTGAGAGAAAGGGCTACTATCTCAGTTAATTTCTTTCACACTGTTCCAGTTTAAAAAATTTAAATAAAAGAGTATTTCCCCTCCCCCCCATTACTTTTTCTAATCTTTTCCATCAGGAAATAGAGTAACAGGGGGAAGAGTGTTTTCCCTTATTTTCTGCCTTCCCCATTTTTTCCTCTAAACCAGTTACATAAGAGATCACTTCTATGCCAATAACACATGACAATTTTGATCCCAATTATTTAGGAGATCGTTTTTTCCAGCAGCAGAGATCCTTTCTTGGTGTGTGTGATATATTAGAGATACAGCAATATAGTCTCCATCAGTGGAGAAGAGTTTCTTTCTATTTTTACTACAGCCTCTGCTGCTGTTTCTAGAGCTGATTATTCGTATGCTTTGAAAATTCTGACTTACAAAAGCTGCTTTCTAAAAGCTCTTGAGTTCATACTGTTTGGGGGTGGGGAAATGATGGAAGAGGATGATCGGGATTAAATTATATTTACACAAGTATTTTTTTGTAAGTAAGCAATCAGAGTGTTAGGTGCAAGTTTTATTTTTTAAAACATGGGCTTTTGAAACAATAATATGCACACCAGAATCAGGACTAGGCCTGTGCTATCATAGAGTTAACTTTTGTTTAAGTCATTACTGAGTGATTTCATATTCTCTTGTTTATTTCAGAGATGGTTCAGCTCAGGATGTGTAACATTTATCTGTCTAAAATTAAAAGGAAATGAAAGAGAGATTTATTAGTGTTTGTTTCTTGGAGATGGTTCTCCATTTTCGGATAGGTTGGTTGATTGAGGATAAAAGGCTTGCATAAGGATGTTGCATTGTACCAATCAGCTATAACTAGAAGTGCTTCCTTGAATGCTGCTGACTTAAGATCTGCTGTATTAAGGAAAGATAATAGCCTCTCCTTAGTAAGGTTGCAACCAGCTTCCCCTATATGAGCCCTAATTTATCCTTATAATTTGACTGGAAAAATTGTTTAGACATTAATATTACCATATTTGCTCTGAAAGTTAAGGAGAAAATTTGAAGAGAATTGGTCAAATGAATTTTGAGTTACAGGCTGAGCAGCTGGTCATTAGTGGATAATGGCCATAAGGCTCTAGCTATCAGCCATGCTTGTAAACACTGGGTAATCTGGCCCCATTGAAGTGAAGATATGAGGGTGTGTGCAGACGAGTGGTGTGTAGGAGGACTGAGATCCTAACTGGAGGGAGGAAGGAGAAAAGAGAAAGAGGGGACCTGGAGCCCTGGGACTTCCTTAAAATGTTGTACTCCAGATGGGTGTTATATCTCTTAACACAAACTGAAATGATGGGAGAGGGAGAGAGAAGTAGAATCAGGGAAATTCCCAATACAAAAAACTTTATTTCAAAAACAAATTCAGGTCCCAAACTGCCAGCAAACCAATGGATTAAAAAAAAAAGAGAGAGAGAGAGATAAGGATGTCCTAAATTTTGCATTGCCAATATAAATATTTATTCTTTATTCTTCTCCAGCACAAAGTAATGTACATTTCATTGTAATACAACAACTTAACTGTGACCCAGAATAAATATTAATTTTTCAATGGTAATTTTCAAAAGAAAAGCCTAAAAGACCAACAGAAAAGAAACATAGAATGTAACACATATTGATCATTCTCAAATACAAGTCCTTGTGCATACAACACTGGCATACATACTAGTGAACTCCAGATACATTATTCTCTAAAAAATATTCTCTAGAAATAGGAATTATAAATTCTTCCTGAATTCCACTGTCATTTGCTAATACATTAAGTAATTTTCTTGCTTAACAGTATCACTTAAAGTAACCAAAACAATAGATTTAAAAAAAAGTAGTTGGTCAGAGTTGTTAGATGTTGTACAAGAAAACACATTTCATTATTTGACTGGAATAATTAACTTTTTCTCCGCTGCCACTGTCCTCTTAGGTTGTTCTAGCTCTGTAAAAGTGGTGGAAAAAAATCCCAGAAAAATTCCATGCTGGTTCACCTCAAAGCCATAGCATAGTTCAGGGCTCCATGCGGGAGCGATTGTGTCCAGCGTGTTGCTGTCTTGTATTTCCCTGCTGGCAGATGATCCAGTCAAGACCATTCCAGTCAATGTCTGAATTAGAGGAGCCCAGAAACTTATTTCAGAGGTTAAGAATTCAGGAGGCACAAAGATGTGGATTTGGACTAGAACACTGGTCCAATCTATATTAGTTGCTTAATATTCTTCTAACTTTTCATTACCTTGCTTTTAAGTGCTTGTAACTGACACAGTCATTGTGGTGTTATCCTTTAGCCATAATAAAATTGTTGGTCTTTAACACGTCACTAGACTCCTTGTTGTTTTTGCAGTCTTAAGTAGTTTTTAGCCAAAGATTTTTGTTTGGAATGCATATGTTGAATTTAGTCATGTTCTAGTTGTGAATTGTCTGCAGACACTTCATTAGTTCCATTAATATATTCATTTGCATTAATTTAACAGATGGGTTTTTTGTTGTATGTGTTGTATGAATATCTCTCAGCCTGATAATGTGCATACTATTTGGGTGTAGTTGGTGTCCACAATTTATTACTCATCCGTGTGATTCTCACCCAGATCTAAGCCTGCTGATGAGGAAGGGAATGGGGCAAAGAATCAACTACTTTGGGGTCTGGTAATTCAAAAAGGCCCGGGATGCCCAGGTACCAGTGCCACTACTGTGGCAGCAATGGCAGCTGGAGCCCCAGGCCCTTTAAATTGCCCCTGAAGACTGTCCCCCTCCAAGGTGGTGCACTTCACGCAGTGCTAAGGTCTGATGGGGCGGTCCATGTGTTGCTGAGAGATGACTGCTGCAACTCCACCCCTTCCTTCTGAGGACCCTTCCAGAAGTGCGGAAACCCTCATCCCCACCCTCCACCCCCCATCATAAGGTATTATTTATTCCCTGAATGACTTACTGGGGCTTTGATACTGATTTGATTTGGAAGAGCTTTAGGGAAATGTGACAGGAGAAAATCCATGCAGTGAAACATTAAAAATTTTAAAACTTTTTCTTTCCCATTTTTCTACATTATTATAATTTTTTCAGGTGCAGATTTGTGTCTATATCTAATTTAGTTTTATTTTCCATCCAGCCATTGTTTTAAATACCTTATTTTGCCCATCCTTGTCTTCCTCTCTCCCCGCCGCTTCCATTTGAGTGTAGATGCCAAAATTGAAGGGCAAAGTTGTGCTTGCAAAAATGGTAATCAGGTTACATCTTGAATACACATCTTGCTCATAACATTAGTAATGGTTGAAATAATGGCTTATTTAAAAACTGACTTTGACCATTAACCGAATTATAAATCCAAAACTACTGTTGTTTTTCAGATTATAAAAATATCTTCAATTATGTAAACTGGATTAATTAGCCTTTGATTTGTGTTTATAAAATATTTGGTAAAATGTTTATATCAGACCCTCAATTAGGGTACATCAGCCTAGCTCTATTGATATCAGTATAACTATGCCTGTTCATAGCAGCTCAGGATCTAGTCCTGTAAGTTATGGTTTCTATTGCTACTTCTGCTTTGCAGCAACATCGATTTTTTAATTATACCAATCACAGAGCAGCTCTGTAGTCATCTGACATCCTTTATTTATCCCCTTTTTTACTTTATAAGCATATTTTCCATAAATCCATCTAGTCCCCCATCACTACTTAAAACTGTTGATATTCTCATATAACTCTATTTATTCTTTCTGCAGTATTATACGGCTTTGTAATAAAACATATTACTATGTGTACACAGAGATTTTTATAATAGAACTTACAGTGTTATCTGGCACAAAGTAAGTAAATTACACAGTTTAAGACTTTTGCAATATGAAGGGCAGCGTGTCAAGAAGAAATAGACTGTGTAATCCCCAAAGAGAAAACAGTCACAGTTTTGAGTTATACCCACAGGATCCTGTGAAAATAGTAGAGCATCCTAAAAATCTATATGTGTTCAACTCCTGTATTTATTAATTGTTCCTACCTGAGTGCCTCTCTACTCATGTTCAAGATGGGTTTCTGCATACCAATTGGGAAACCTGACTTTTTGTGTTGCCAGGAAGTTTAGAGCTTTTGTTCAGCTGTGTTATGACACCTGAGCACATGGGGTTTTTTTGTGCTGCCAAAAGATAGATTTAGAACTTCATTGCTTTATGTTTGAGCTGAGGAGACTGATCTAATCACTGAAGTGATGCTTAGTTTTCAGAAAAGAACTGTAACAAATGTATCTGATGTGTCGTGGAAACTCCTAGTATTCGCTTCAGAGAAATCTGGAAACCTGGTTATCCTATTTAACTCTAAATACAATACAAAGCACAAGGCAATGAGATGGAAAGATTACTATAATCAGCAAAGCAGTTTCAGTGAGTGGCAATACCATGTTTGTGAGCTTTTGTTTTGCTTAATTTATATCCATGTTGGTGGAACAGAAAGAAGTTTTCTACTGGAAAATGAATAAGAAGCATTAAAAGAGAATTAAGCCATTATTTGAGAAGCAACCCATCTGAAAATTCTCAGGAGCATCATTTGATGCCTTTGGAATCTCATCCGTTTACCTACTTGCGCATGTACATACACATGTCTAATATCTCTGTAGTAAAACTAAAAACTTTTAAAAAGGCATGTGGCAATTTTGCTTCACGTATCATAAAATTATCTTAAAATCTATAAGTTGCACTCAAAAAAACAAAGTATTAAAAATGGGGGCACTAAGACTGGAGACTAATAAAATATCACCCCTGCCCTTGTTTGCCTTACTTGTTTGTTCCTTACACAGAACAATGACCTCTCATAAGCCATCGCTT